GAGAAAAGACGACTGAGGGGTGACATGATCGAGGTTTATAAGATTATGCATGGGAAAGAGCAGGTAGGGAAAGAGGTACTTTTCTCCCTTTCTCACAATACAAGAACTCGTGGGCACTCCATCAAACTGCTGAGCAGTCGGGTTAGAACGGATAAAAGGAAGTACTTCTTCACCCAAAGAGTGATTAACACTTGGAATTCAGTGCCACAGGAAGTGGTGGCGGCTACAAGCATGGATGGCTTCAAAAGGGAATTAGATAAGCATATGGAGCAGAGGTCCATCAGTGGCTATTAGCCACAAGGTATAGATAGGGGCTCTGGGCAAGTGATGCTCTGTCTTCTTGGTGCTTGGGGGGGGGGTCAACAGTGGGAGGGCTTCTAATGTCCTGGCCCCACTGGTGGACCTCCTGATGGCACTTGGTATTTCTGGCCACTGTGTGACACAGAGTGTTGGACTGGATGGGCCTTTGGCCTGATCCAACATTGGCGTCTCTTATGTTCTTATGTTCCATCATAGCCTCATCCTGGTGGAACGCTTTATCAGAGGAGACATGTGCCCTGTATGACCTGTCGAGATTCCACATGGCCTGCAAGACTGAATTGTTCTGGTAGGCCTTTAGTTAATCCTTTCCTTTTCAGCGGTAATTGATTTTTCTAGATTTTTCTCTTTTGAATATTTCTAGGTACCGAAAGAATATCAAGATTTTAATGCTTTAGTGATGAACCTTATGGTTCTGTTGTATCATTTTAAACGTTGTGAGCCACCCCACATCTCACATTGCGGGAGAGGGGTGGGATATCAATCTAATACACAAACACACCTGGAAACTGAAGAGGAGGTGATGGAGCAATCACTCTGCCTATCTCCTGACAGTAACCGTCTACACTAGAGATGTAAAATTTCTGGAAACTTTGAAGCTCAGAAAAAACCCCGTTTTTTTGGGAGGGAAACGGAAATTTTCGGAAAAATTGAAAAAAATCCTACATTAGGATTTCTTTTGTCTTTTCTAGATTGAAAGTCATTCTGTTACTTTAGGAACATAAAATATGACTATGGACATTTTTACTTGGCATATTAAACTACACAACTAGCATATTAAAAATATAGTGTGTCCAAACAATTATTTCAAACCGAATACCCACCCACATGCAAAAACAAAACTGAAACTTTTTTATTTTCTTCTGACAATCGCACCTCCTAAAGGAAGAAATGCATCTTGTTCTTGCATTGGAGAGTTCAGTTTGTAACCTAGGACTTGCTTGTCCTCAGTGCACAGAAATTAGATCAATCTGATACCATATATATATATTTTAGAAGTGATTTGGAAAATATTTGAACACCTTGTCTTAAAATATTTTATTCATCATGTTAAAATAGAATATTCCATAATCATTCCCCCCCTTTTTTCCTTTTTTCCAATTTTTCGGGAAAAAACAAAAAGGCTTCAGGAAAAAACCGGGAAAAAAACGTTTTTCCCCCAAATTTTTCCGTTTTTTTCCTGGGCCTTCACATCTCTAGTCTACACTGAGCTACACAATTCTTCATCACCTGGTTTCCAAGTTCTTTTCAAGGTCTGTCCCCTATGGAGTCCAGTCCAGTAGTCTAGCCTCAAGGCATCACCTCTGTGGAGCCTCTCCCAGCTCTGTTATTTTGGTTGGTTTCAGAGCAGATGCCAAGGATAGAACTGGGGATCTCCCGTTTGCCATGCATGGGCTCTGCCACTCAGCTATGGCTTCTCCCCCATCACAGAAAGGCCCCCATCCACATGCCACATGCCCCTTGTGTGTCCCACCTGGTCTGTCTGAGGATCCCAAAGGAGGGGCTGGAACTCTTAGGAGGCAAAATTTTCCCTTCTGCACTTGACAATTTGACTTTAAAAGTTTAACAATGAGAACTTGAAAACTCACATCCTACTGGGAAGGACCAGCATTTCACCCTCTGAGAATTCTCTTCTCCCCCAAAAGTGCTCCAGCTCAGCTTCAGATGCCTTTTTGCATCCTGTCTGGGAACTCCGGCTCACATGTGTCTTTCCCTCCAGCCTCACCTTCTACCCTCTCTAGCCTCTAGGGCCTTCAAGGTCTCAGGTGGAGGTCTTTCACATTACCTATGGTGCAATCCTTTTAAGTGGAGATGCCCGGGACTGAACCTATGACCTTCTCCACGCAAAGCAGAGGCTCTTCCACTGAGCCACCGCCCCTGTCCTTTCCACTTTCCATGGTTGTTGGTTAAGTGGAAAAAGCTGTCATAAAATGCAGAGAGTTTTGTGACAGGTGTGACACCGGGCATGAGTTGGTTTTCATCCTTTGAAAAACGGGAGGAAAAGCCTTGCCAGGCAAACCCAACAAGGCAGAGGGGACCACCCTGGTTTCGGGGTGGGGGTGGGGGACTGGGACGGGGAAGGCCCAAAAGCATTTTAGGTGACCCTTGTAGGAAAGCATCAGTGGGACTTGGGCTTTGTCCAGCAGGGCTCCTCCTAAGTCACTAGCCCTTCTCCTGAGCACATCAAGTTATTTGAGGAAACCAAAGAACAGGGAAGCAACCCTTGACAGAAGGAGCCAATGCTGCTGAGCTCAGCCCTAGAAGGAGTTTCTGAGCCTCCCCAACCTCAGGACACAGAAGGCCCCTTGCCCTCCATACCCAGCGGGCCGGCTTCTCTGTCTTCCTCTTCCTTGACGCTCATCAAGGGACGCCTCCGCTCGCTCTCAGGTGGGGCCTCCTCGCCTGCCTCAGAGACGCTCCCAGCCACCTCCTCAGAGGGCATCTGCAACACCAGAGAGGGACACACTATTTCAGGGCAGAGCAATAGAGCTGCAAATGCTCTTTTAGGGGAGGATGAAAAACTCCCCCCCCCCCATCAAGACTGACCAAACTGGATCCCAGATTGAGGGAAAATTCCTTCCCACCCAAAGAATCTGGATTCAGCTTCCAGGAAAATGAGACAACATCACGCCCCCACCCCACCCCCCAAGGAGAAAGACTTCAGTCCCTTTTCCAAGCCCAGGCCCTCCCACACTCATGATCTGCAAGCGGAAGGGGCCCACCTGCTTCTCCTGCCTCAAGAGGAACTCCTCGGCCAGGGCCACCGCCTGGGAGCAGCTCTCGGGGCCGCTCTCCCTCACCCGGCTCTGGATCTCCGGGGGCAGGATGCTCAGCAGCTGTTCTAGGATCAAGAGTTCCAGGATCTGCTCCTTGCTGTGATTCTCCACTCTCAGCCACCCATGGCACATTTCCCGCAGTCGGCTGTAAGCCTCCCGGGGACTCTCGGCTTCCTCGTAGCAGAAACCCCTGAACTGCTGACGCTGCTTCTCCCGGCTCAGGGCATCCCAAAGCAAGATGGAAGCCTTCACCTTCCCATAATCCTCTCTGTCTCTGACGTCCAGACTGTTAAAGGCCCTCTTAGCTTCTCCACTGAGGGCTGGCAGGAGTCGGGTCGCCCAGTCATCTTTTGGCCACTGACAGGCTTCGGCCACTTGTTCGAAGGAGTCCAGAAAGGCCTTGGCATCCTCCCAGGGGGAAGGCTTCTCTGGTAAGCGTGGCATTCCCCATGGAGAGTGAGAGGATTCCAATGTCCTGAGGAACTCCTGCCACTGGGCTTCCCACTGTATGAGAGAAAGGGAACCCTCCCCTGCTTGCTGATGCATCCAAACTCCTGGTCTGCTTTCCAGGAATTCATCCAGATTCCCAGCCTGGAGGATGTGAAGGGATTTTCCTCTTGCCTCCCCTGTGGGGACTTGTTCCTGCATTTTCACCTCAGAGTGATCCCTCAGGAATGGAGCTGCAGAACTGAAACTTTTAGAATATGCCATCAGTTACCAAGCTGGGCTTCTCCCTAGAGAACTGGGAAAAGAGAGAGAACAGACACACTCAGCATCTGGCATAGTGGCCCCCGAGATGATTTCCCCCTCATATGCACAACTCATACACAAAACTGCATCATTCTTATGTGTCTATGACTTTAAGAAAAGCATAATATACTAATTAAAAGGTTCAGGATTTCTTCTCATGGCTGCCCCCTGACCTTTACCAGCTCTCCTTGCCTATACATTTACGTCATTCACTGGACAAGATGTAAGATGGCCAGGTCAGCAAACACCATCCAAGATGGAGTCCCCGGATGCTGCCTTGCCCTCATCCTCACCTTTGGTCCGCTGACCTATTTTTGTCCATTTGAAGCCCTGTTTTCTCAATAACGCTCAGGGTGGATTACAAACTGTAAAAGGATATTTTTAAAAGCAACCATTCATCTGTCACCCAACGTGAAAATCACATCAGCATCCCTTCTTAATGAAAAGTCCTCCTGAAACGCTCCTTCTTACGCTGTCAGAGAAAACCCATTCAGGTGGGAGACCTCGGCAGGAAGAGGCGCACCTTGCTTAAGAGGATACAATATGAGAATTTCCCTCCTTCCCCAAAAAGGGCCTTCACCCACTCCTGTTGAGGCATCTGACCACTCGCTCTAGGGTTGCCAAGCCTCATTTGGGAAATTCCTGGAGAAATTTCAGGGTGCAGCCTAGGTGTCATGATCTGGCCTGTGCCAGCCTAAGAGGCCTGAGTGGCAGTAGGAGGCAGCTAGGCCCACAACTCCCAGAAGGCATTGGGAGAGTCAGAGAAGATTCTAAAGAGACCGTTGAAGTCGGTTGGGAATGAAGTCTGAGAGAAGACAGTTTACGGAGTTGCTGGCTGAGGGTTGATGGTGGAAAAAGACTCTCTGAGGGACAGGCCGGGCTGGGAGAAGGGCAAAATCCGGAGAGAGTAGGCAGGCTAGGGCCTGGTAGTCGACCCACATTAAGGCATCTGAGTTAAGTTTATTTTCTTTTGGTTTCCCCTCCCCCTGTTACCCAGTTGAAGCACCTTGCCCCAATCATTCCTACAATAAACCCTGTTCTGCTTAATGTATTTTAGGTGTTGCCTGGGTCATTCATGTCCATAGGGCTCGGACAGCAAGGCTTGGGAGATACCCTGGGACTCCCAAGGGACCCGAAAGTCTAGGGTGGTGGCAGCGAAACCCAAAGACCCCTCTGGGGTCATGACACTAGGGAAGGTGGGGTTTGTGGTGTGACCTCAGTGCATCATAATGCCACAGAGCCTACCCCCCAGAGCAGCCATCTTCTCCAGGGGAAGTGATCTTTGTCTTCTGGAGAGCAGCTCTTGCGCAAAGAGACCTCCAGGCCCCCACGTAGAGGTTGGCAAGCCCACCGTGGTCTGAGGAGCACACTTTGAAGAAAAGGGATTCCTGACCTTTCTCCACAGCCAAATTCTCCATCTGGGACTCCCCTGATCTGCCCACTTGGGGGGTGGGGACCCTGAAAAAGCTAGAGATCAGGAGACAAAAAGGGGCTGAGATGGGGAGATGCCATGATGGCCCCACAGGAATCCAATGTGACACAAACCCCGCCCCTCCAATCTGTCAAAGTTGGGCCCCACTGTATTAACACACCTCCTGCTCCAAAGGACTCCAATTTACCAACAACAGAGAACAGGTTATTTTGGGAAGGCAGATGCTGAAATCTGCCCACCAGGGCTACCTTTTGCCCCAAAGACACCACAGGGGATTCAATCTGCTTTTGGCCCCAGGAAGAAGATCAGTAATGGAAAATCCAGAAATGGTATGTACCCTCACCTCTTTTTCTCAGACAGTCATGGGGGGGGGGGG